CGACGGTCGTCGCATCGTGGCCGGCCTCGATCGGGTAGAGGTCGTCGACGTCGAGGGTCTTGGTTGCGCCGAGGGCCAGGAGCGGGCTCAGCCACGTGAAGAAGAGCGCCGACGTGCAGCTTGCGCGGACTGGCGCCGGTGCTTTTGCCAGCAGTGGCGTTGCCTCGCTGGCCATGACGGGTCCTCGCTCGGGATCGGGTGGTCTCGAAAATGCAGAGCGAAATCTTGATGTTTGTAGGAAGCATTAAATATTGCATTTTAAGTTTTCGAAGCGTGGCGTGTTCGATATTTGAACTTGGTCTTTGTATGGAGCAACTGAGGTGGGCGATGCGAAATAGGTGCAATGACGCAGCTAGTGGGTAAAACTGGGTTTTACCTTGTTTACCGTGAATAACGTGCTGTCGCCGACGTTGCACTTTTGACGTGGCAGCACGAAAACGTAGCGCAGCGAATGGCGGTGCAGCAGTGTCCGAGAAGACTGCCAGGTCAAGCAACCCGGGCAATACGACACGGAACTAGCTGGCATTCTTGGCCAATGGTCTTGGTGAACAAGGATACGCGGTTAGTTCATACGAGTAGCCGCTGGGTGGTGAAGTACTTGACGAGACCCTTGCTGAGAATAGGGAAGAACCGGAACCACACACTCTCCGAGCTCAACTCTCAGAGAAAAGACAGAAAGCTAATCGAGAGCAGGTCAGGTTGCAGTCGGATAGAGAATCAAAAGCTTGGGGAAAGGGAGCAGAACCCTTTGGGAGTAGAAACCGCCTCCTAGGGCCACTCGAATCCACCGCCGGTTGAATTCCGCTACAATGGTATTGCAGTGAACAAATATTGGAGATTTGGGGTTTAACGCATCGAGTCGAAATAAGAGCATCTCCAACGCGCCGCCGCTAGTCATTATTTATGTTCAATTTCCTACGTGGATGACGACCTCGTTGTCGACTGCGGGGTAAGCGTCAACGGTTCATCAGCTTCTCGATCGGGCTGACAGTCATGGTATTATTGATATGCCAAGCAGCTTGTGACAGCTACACGTGTGCCTCCTCGCCGGAGCACTTCGTTGCCGACGAATGCCCCGTGCAAGCACGACACATTCGCCAGTACGCAATTCGACAGCAAGTCGGACGATGCTGACCACGATGACGACCATCGCGATCAAGAGGTCTGCGAACCCGGCGACGGCACTTGGTCCGACACAGATATAGTCATTGCAGCAACCAAGGTTGCAAAGGCACCCGCCAACGACTTCGACGCCTTGCCCCACGACAACGACGATCAAGCCGTCGCCGACGCCGTGCAAGATCGTTACCTGTGCCCCCACGATCTTTAAGCCGCCCTCAACGTCCACGATTCCGAGCACGTGGTCGCCTGCTTCGGTTCCGTGCAAGAGAACTCCGACTCCGTCGATGCGCCCGACGACGGCTCCGTGCAAGTAATTTTGAAAATTAATGTGCAATACATGTCATATTCACTTCATGACATTTCTTCCAAGATGATCATCGCATTAAGCTGTATGGACGCTGCAATTGACGCGAATTCGGCACTCGGCGCCAAATCATCGGTGGGATCTGCCACTGCTTGGAGCACTCGGTGAAAATATTCTCCGGGTACATGGACAAAGAGCTGGCCTGCCACGAACGCCAACTCATCGTCCGAGACCTCGATGGCTTGTCGTCGGACGTCGTCGACGACCTACCTCCGACAGTCGTACCACACTTGCTGCGAATCATCGTACCTGCGTATCGTCGGGCGAGAGCACTCTTCGGTGCAAACCAACGAGGCGCCGCGTAATGTCTTGCATCGCTTCCACTGTGTCGTCCTCGGCGGTCGCGTGGTCCTTAACCCACGCCCACGCGGCCGTCAAATACTCGATCGCCCGGTACGTATCGTCAACAGCCGACGCGCACTCGCCGAGGAGCTGAAGCGATGCGACGACGTTGGTCGATGCTTCCACGCACAGCGCGTGCGCCTGGAGCGCGGTCGTGTACGCCGGTTGCAGCGCCCGCGTCGACAAGAGCAGCTGCGCTGTCGCAAGGCAGCAGTCGGCGCGGCTTGCCACCAAGGAGCTCAGCGCCGGTGCCTCGTACAGGCGCAAGCACTCTTCGTAGAGACTCAGCGCTTCGTCGGGGGCTCCGACTTGGTCGACGAGCCACGCCTGCGTGCGGCGCACTTCGACGAACGGCGCACTCTTGCGGCCAAACGTCTCCTTGAGCACGCCGAGGCAGGCGTCGCACATGCCCAGCGCCTTGTAGTGCTCCCCGCGGTCGCACCACACGTCGACCGCCGTCATGTAAATGTCGACGAGGAAGACATGCGTCGGACCGAGATGCCACGACGCAATGGCCACGGCTCGCTCGACGAGGTGCCCGATGCGCTCGACGTCGCCTTTGGCATGGGCGAGCGTCATCGCGACAGTGTGCGCCTTGGCGAGGTGCGCGTGCCAGCGCGGTCCGTCCTCGAGCGCCGCAGAGGCAAACGTGTCGGCGTCGCTGAGGTGCGACGTCCGCGCCGAGAGCTCGGCGGCACACACAAGGAGGTGGCACCACTGCACCCGGTTGTGGTCCGTCGGGTGCGCCTCCTCGAGCGCGAGTGCGAGCTTGACGTAGGCGACCGCGTCCGACAAGAGACCGGCACCGACTGCGTCGTCCGTCGACGCAATCAACCGTGTGCTTTCGGTCGTCGTCCGTAGAACCATCGACGTCGACGCGTGAAGCCCGACGATATGGTGTGCTCGGAACGGCCCCGGGGCGTCCCCGGCGCTCGCAATGTGACGAAGCGCCACCGTAACACCGAGGTGTTTTTCCAGCGCAAAGAGTACCTGCGGCAAGTGCACATCATTGCGCGTCGGCGCCGCGTGCAAGCCAAACTTGAGCCGCAGCGTCGGAAGCAACTCGTGATCGAGAAAGACGCCCGCCTCGGTGCCGCCACCGCAGACCAGATTCACAAGCGTCAACACAACCGAGCGAGAGGCCGGCGCGCCGCGGAGCATACCGCGAAGCAGCACCTTGGCCGTCCGCGCCACCATTTCGGTGAGAAGAAGTCGGCGGATATGGCCGAGCGTAGCGAGCTCGTAGAGGCGACCCAAGTACCGCATGTTGATGCCGTCGCCGTGAAGCAACCGCGTGAGCGCCGTAGCGTCGACTACGTGAAAGTATTCGTTGGCTTCGAGGCGGGCGACCGCCGATGGGAGCACCGCCTTTTGCAAATAGTGGCTCGCGCAGGCCACCGTGCTATCGAGCGCGGCCACGGACCCCGTCCCGTAGACGTTGGAGCTCAGCGCGGTGTGGTACTGCCGAATGTACTCGGGGCGGAGCTGGTGCAAGCTCGACGCCCCGTCGCCGTCGTGCGCACCGTCGTCATGTTCGAGAACGTCGGGTGCGCACAAATGGCGCAGCCGGGTCCATGCATAGGCGTCGTCCGTCAGTCGCACGACATGCGCGTCACGGGGTAAGACGCGCTGGAGAGCGGTAACGTCGGTCGCATCCAGCTCGGGCGGACACAGGTTGAGCTGCTTGAGAACCGCCGTCGCAGCGATCACAAAAGTTGGTGGAAGCTCGGTTGTCTGGCACACCGTCGGTGACGCGCCATAGTCGCCAAAGATCAGCGCGCGGGCGCCGTGGTAGTCGACGGTGCACTGCAGCGGCACTCGCAGTGTCGTCACCTCCAGCGCTTGCAGCGCGTCAATGACCGCGCGGCCAGCGCGGAGGTCGTGCCCCAGAGCCTTCCAGACAGCGACACTCGGTGCGCGCCATAAAAAGCAGCACAAGCCGTCGGCTACGTACACGTCGGCGTCGGTTGCGTCGGCATAACCATACCACCGGTGCCGGTCGCCGGTGCCATCGGCCCAAATGTTGTTGGCCGAGAAAACGTCGTCGACGTCGGTCGCACGCGTGTCAAGCAGTGTTCGCACCAGTCCCTCGGCGGCGTCTCGAAACGCTTGTGTGAGCTGTGCCACCTGCAGCGCTTTGGCCGACACCGAGAGATCATCGACGGCAAGGAGGCGCCAGAGCCGGTCGTTCCATTGCGTCGATGGCTCTGACAACGACGGGCGGGCGACCGGAACGCAGTCTGCCTTCTTTGGCGCAACGACGGGACAAGGCGGCGGTGGCGCATCCGGCTGCGGCTCGGGCACCGGTGCGTCGAGCGTCTCCTTCGACGAAGCTACCCAATCGAGAAAGTCCACGAGGGCGATCTTGCCTACTCTGACTTGAGATGCTTTGGTCCAGTGAGAACATGAGTACCAGTGAGTCCGGGGTCGAGGCTTTGCTGGATCGTGTTGTACGCCTCGATCGACCCGTGCCAGTGAATGTACAATTTGTCATGTAAGGTGACTAGAGTTGTCTCATACAGACCTAATATACGTCGATAGAAGAAAGGATATCAAGTCGAGGAGCGCGCGCAGCTTGGCGCATTCGATCTTGCCCATGCCTCGACCGTCGAGCTACGCACGCTACGTGTCGAGCCCCATGGGATAGAACGCCGGGTACCTTGGCAAATGCGGCGCGGGCGTCGGCGCAGCGCTGGTCCGTGTGCGTCGTTGGTGCTGTCGATGGCGGGTGCATGCTAGCCTAATGAAAGCGGTATTCAACACCATTTCTCAAGCTTTGCATCGACGTACGTGGATGGCTGCGACCCATTCGACGAGGTCGCGCTCGGACGCACAGCCAAACGTCCGCGTCTTCTCCTATGCGCCAGCATCTTCAGCCGCGCAATGTAGCGTCCATTAAGCGTACCGTGTGCTTGTCGACGAGCTGGAAGCAGTGCTTTCGCTGCAAGCGCTTCTACCCTTGACGCATGAGAGACGGACGATGCATATGGCGATAGCCGTGTACCTCGATGGGCGCCGAGACGGCGACGAGCGTATGCTCGTGGAGCAAGAGTACCTTCGTTGCCTTGCTGCTACATAGGCCATGGAGCGAGAAGCCTCCGGCGTCGGCCACCTATGCACATGGCCTGTCGCCTTGTCGGCCAACCGGCGCCTCGTACCATCGGGTACCAGCGCAGCGCATGGGCGTCGAGGTGGACCCACTTGTCGCTCCACTTGGCGCCGAGGACGTTGACCGAGTGCTACCTCGGAGGATGGGTCCATGCGGCCGGGTCGTCGGCCTACCTTGGAGAGCTTCCCCGACTTCATGGCGTCGTTTTCGTGTTTCGAAATGGGCGATCTTCCGCTACAGTTGTAACCGCCAAATCGGTTATAGTCTAACCGGTCATACCCGTTAAACCGGCCAAGCAATCCGGTTAGCCGGCTCCGCACCAAAGATTGCTGTGGCCGCGTTGGATTGGTCGGCGCCGTTTCGAAAAAGAGAATCGTTCAGTCTCCGATGGGCGAAGCGCAGCCACTGCTCGCGCCGTCGCCGCTCAGCGATGGGCCGCCGGCGCCGAGGAGCTGCCTCTCATCGATGCTCTTCACGTGGATGAACCCGCTCCTGGAGCTCGGCAACGAGCGCCCGCTCGAAATGGACGACCTCTACCAGCTCGCGCCCGCGCTGCGCGCCGACGTGGCATCGGCGCGCTTCCAAGCCTGCTGGGACATCGAGCGGCAGCGACCGCACCCCAGCCTCGCCCGCGCGCTCGCCCGCGCATTCGGTCGGCGGTTTGTTGCCGCGGGCGTTCTCCGGCTCATCCGCGATGTGCTCCAGTTTGTCGGGCCATTCGTGATCCACCGCGTGATCGCGTACCTCTGCAACCCGCTGGCGCCCGAGTCGGACGGCCTTATTTGCGTCGCTGCCATCTTTATCGCAGGCAACCTCCAGGCGTTCTGCTTCCGCAACTACATGTACTACGTCTTCGAGACAGGCCTCCTCGTGCGCAGCGCGGTCGTCGCTGCCGTGTACCAGAAAGCACTTCGCCTCTCGTCACTGCGGTCGTCCGGTGAGATCACGAACCTCGTGGCCATTGACGCGACGCGGCTCCAAGACTTGCTCTCGGACCTCCACGCGATTTGGTATGGCCCGTGCCTCATCGCGGCAGCCTGCACGCTGCTCTACTATCAGGTCGGACCCGCGTGCTTTGGCGCCCTCGGGGTGATTCTGCTCGCGATTCCACTCTCGCTACTCATCTCGCGGCGCATGCGTACTTTGCAAAAGGCGCTCATGGCCGTCAAGGACGACCGCATCAAGGTTTGCTACGAGGTGCTCACTGGCATCAAAGTCATCAAGCTGCAAACGTGGGAGCACGAGTTCGTCAAGCGCGTCCAGAGCTTCCGCGACGACGAGCTCCGAAAGCTCAAGGCGTACATCCTCACGCGCGCATCGTCCAACTCGATCTTCAACGGTGCGCCCGCGCTCATCACGGTTGCGCTCTTTGCTACGTACGTCGTGGGGTACCACGAGGTCCTCGACGTGCAAACCTCGATCACGTGTCTCGCGTTGCTGGCGATCATGCGGTACCCGCTCTTTGTCCTCCCGAGCGTCGTGAACGCTATCGTCGAGGCGTCCGTGAGCCTCACGCGCCTCGAAGCGTGCCTGCTCGACGCCGAGCGAATGCCGGTCGGCAGCGGCGACTTGAAGCATACCGGTATCTCGCTTCAGGAGGCCACGTTTGGATGGACCGCGCCGGCGCTCGGACCCCTCACGCTCCGAATCCACGACCATGGGCTTGTCGCCGTCGTCGGGCCCGTCGGCAGTGGCAAATCGACGCTTCTCTCCGGCTTGCTCGGCGACGCACACTGCCTCTCGGGGTCCGTTGCCCTGCGCGGCAATATCGCGTACGTGGCCCAGCAGCCGTTCATCCAAAATGCCACGGTCCGCGACAACATCTGTTTCGGTCTACCGTACGAGTTTGGCCGGTACATGGCCGCGATCCGCGTCGCGTGCCTTGACGACGACCTCCGCGCGCTGCCGGGGCACGACCTCACGGAGATCGGCGAGAAAGGCATCAACCTCAGCGGCGGGCAAAAGACGCGGGTCGCCCTCGCGCGCGCCGTGTACCAAGACGCCGACGTCTACCTCCTCGACGACGTCCTCGCCGCCGTTGACGCCCACGTCGGTGCCGCGATCTATGAATCGTGCATCCGCGGTACGCTCGGCAAGAAGCTCGTGGTGCTGGTGACCAACGCGCTCCAGTTCCTTCCAACGTGCGACCAGATCGTGGTGCTACACGCGGGTCGGGTGGCCCAAGTCGGCGCGTACGACGCACTGCTTTCGGCACCAGCGAGCGCGCTCCAGGCTCTTGTGTCGAGTTATACACCGCCGTCGGTGCAGGACGCATCGACGGACGACGTGATTTCTGACGACGAGTTTGGGACGACACCGGGGCACCAGTTGCAGCGCGTGCCATCGAGCGACGTAGCCGAGAAGGCCCGGCACCTCATGGTGGACGAGGACCGGTCGACGGGCGACGTCGCGTGGCGCGTCTACGGTGTCTGGGTGCGCGCGTGCGGCGGTGTCTGTATCCTTAGCAGCATCCTCTGCGTCTTCTTTCTCGCCCAAGGTACGAACGTGGTCGCGACGTTCTGGCTACAAACCTGGGCAGCCAACGACGCTCAGTCGTCGACCAACGACCGCAGACTGTACCTCTACCTCTTTGTGGGGCTCAACCTCGGCTACGTCGCCTTGATCTTTCTCCGCGTCTTGCTCTTGTACATTGTGGGTCTCCGGGGCAGCAGTGCACTCTTCACCTCGATGCTCTACCAAGTGCTTCGCGCCCCCATGGCGTTCTTCGATACGACACCACTTGGTCTAGATCCATATTGAGAATGTCGATGGCTCAGATTGTCGATACGATGTAGGACGCATTGTGAACCGGCTCTCGAAAGACGTGTATGCTGCCGACGAAGACATTCCCGCGACCGTCGGCAACGTCCTCATCACGCTCTGCAGCGTCACTGCGACGCTGGCGACGATCGTGTACGTCACGCCAGCGTTCGCCCTCGGCCTGCTGCCCCTTGGTGTCGGCTATATCGCGTCGCAGCGCTACTTTATCAAGACGTCGCGGGAGCTCCAGCGCCTCGAGTCGATCTCGCGCTCACCGCTCTACGCGCTCATGGCCGAGACGCTCGACGGCCTCCCGACGATCCGAGCGTACGGCGTCCAGTCGACGTTTGTGCGGCGCATGACACACTTGCTCGACCGGAACCAGCGCGCGTACTTTCTCAACTTTTCGGCCAACTGCTGGCTCGGGCTCCGGCTCGAGTTTGCCGGCTCGATGATTGCATCGATCGCGACGCTCTGCGCCGTCGCCGCGCACTCCCCGACGTCCACCGCGTTCGCCGGGCCCGCTGGCGTCGCGCTCTCGTATGCGTTTAGCGTCACGCCGTCGCTCAACATGTCGGTGCGCTACTTGAGCCAGCTTCAGACGCAAATGGTGTCGATCGAGCGGTTGCACGCGTACGCGACGATGCCGACCGAGCCGCCGCTGCGTCTGCCGTCGTCGTCGCCGACAACGTCGACGCGTGGCGAGATTGTCTTTGAGAACGTCGATTTGCGCTACCGCGCTGGCTTGCCCCGCGTGCTCCGGCAGCTCTCGGCGCGAATCCGCCCCAAGGAAAAGATCGGCGTCGTCGGGCGCACGGGCGCCGGCAAGTCGAGCCTCGTCGTTGCGCTCATGCGGCTCGTCGAGCTCCAGGGTGGGGCCATCTACATTGACGGCGTCAACACGGCGAGTCTCGGGCTCCACGACCTGCGGTCGCAAATCTCCATCATTCCGCAAGACCCCGTGCTCTTCTCCGGCACAGTTCGCTTCAACTTGGACCCGTTCCAGCAATATGCCGACGACGCAGTGTGGGCTGCCGTCAAGCGCGCGCAGCTGGGCAGCGTCACGGCCCTCGATGCGCTCGTGGACGAACGCGGTTGCAACTTTAGTGTTGGCGAACGGCAACTGCTCTGCATTGCGCGAGCACTCCTCAAGCAGTCGCGCATCATCTTGATGGACGAAGCGACCGCGTCCATCGACCCGAGCACGGACAAGAGCATCCAGCGCGCGATCCGCGACGTCTTTGTCGACTGCACGTGCCTCACGATCGCCCACCGGCTCAACACGATCATGGACGCGGACCGGATTTTGGTGCTGGACCACGGCGCGGCCGTTGAATTCGACACGCCGTCGGCGCTGCTCACGATCAAGCATGGCATCTTTGCGTCGCTCGTGGCCAAAGCAGCGCGCTAGCTGCCGACGAACCTCAACAATCAAAGTCGCAGGATATCCGTTCTTACAGGTTTGGAACAACACCTGCGACACGCGGTAGACCGATTGCACTATATAAAGCCATGGGATATCCAGTATGAGAGGTTTTATGCGGGAGACCCACTCTCGGTCTACACCCGAGTGTACCTACTTAGATCTTAGTACACGTCACCGACATGCTGGACAGTTGCAACATGGGGGCATAAGCCGTCGAGACACTGCACCGGTCGCTGCCCGACGACGACGACCCGGTTGGCCCAGCGCGGTCGGTGGTCGGACCACCGTCTGTGCACTGAGATCCCGATCGACGTTACGCCGGCGCCTTTCCCGTTGACGGGTCCTGTGCACCGGCCCACGGACTTTAAAGCTCTTGGCGCCAAGAAGAATGCGATGCAGCAACGAGGTCGGTGCTATTTGCACTTGGTCCAGGAAGCTAGTCGGGCGGCTGCGCGTGTCCCACGTGGCGTGGCCTGTCCTCATCGACAACTCGGTCAATGTATGGCTCGGACGCGCCGCGAACTGCCAGCTGGTACCCTGATCGATTCAGTCACTTGGGCGTCCGTCCCCCCTCCCCCTCCCATGAATTTGCACCCATACGGCCATCACAACGTGCTTGCTCTTCTTCGCATGCATACGCTCGAAACCACGCACCTCGCAGTTACCAAGACGTCATCTCGCGTGTCGCTTCAAGTTATATGTTGGTCCATCGATCAATACATAGTCCACTTGCTAATATAGACATTGTTGTTTCTAGTCTTGCAACGGACGGCTGTCCACGTGGCGCGATCGGGCTCGACGCGCGGCCAGCACGATCAGCAGGCGCGCGCCGGAAGCCATTACACCCGCGAAACGGCGCCTTGTGACAAAAAGGGGGGAAGGCCACGGCGCCATCCACTTCCAACTGTGTGGAGGCCAGCGCTCGACTCGCTTGACTTGGCCTTTGTATACTGCGTCGCCTCCGTGTCGCTGATTGGCTGCGTTTTGGACGCTGCTGGCTTTCTGCAGTAGGGGGCCCTACAAAAAATAAAGGGGCGACGGGCAACTCGAAATTGACGGTTTTCCCTGCTTCTGGCCAGTGGTTGAGACCGAGATGGCGCCGCCCCCGTCCCCGCCGGTGCGACGCACGCGCGCCAAGTCCTCGTCCGCGTCGTCGGACCTCATGGAAGACTCTGCACCGCCGGCTGCCGGGTACCGCGCCCGTGCGAGAGGCGCAAGACGACTCATGGACGTGTAGCACGACGACCAAGAAGCGCAAGCTGAGCGATGCGCCCAAGCGCCGTGGCCGCAAGGCCAAGGGCAAGCGCAAGCACTCGGACGAAGACGACGACGACGATGACGACGATGATGACGACGAGGTCGATGAGGCCGACCTCTGCGAGCTCTGCCGCGTCAATGAGAACGACGAACTGAGCTTGATCTGCGACGCCTGCGACAAAGGTGGGCTTCATGTACGATCGCTCTCATGATCGATTGTGCTGGCTAGTGTACCACACATACTGCCTCGTGCCACCGCTCAAGGCCATTCCAGCCGGCGACTGGGTCTGTCCCAAGTGCGTCGCCGAGAAGGAGGCTGAGAAAGCTCCGACATCGGCGTCGCCTGCGCGGCAAACGCCGCCCCAACACATGCCGTCATTCCAGCACCCGCGCACGAGCCTTCCGGTGCCGCCGTCGTTTCACATGCAATCCTCGTACCACCCACCGCATCGGATGACGCCGCCGCAGCACATAGCGCCCAACCAACCTCCTCCAGGGTACCCCCACAGCTCGCCCGCGACAGGTCTGCATCATCCGTTGCGCCCGTCGCCGCACTTGCGCCAGCTACCGATGCCATCGTACCACAACGTGCCGCCACCGATAGCAGTGCACCGTCCGCTGCCATCGCAGCAACAGCAACAACAACAGCAGCAGCAACAACAACAGCAGCAGCAACAACAGCAGCAACAGCAGCAGCAACAGCAGCAGCAACAGCAGCAGCAGCACCTTGCGTACCCGCACCACCACCAGGCCTACCCCCCGGACGCGTCGAGCGGTCCCTTGCCTGTGGCGCCATTTCCGAGCAAGGGGCGCGACGTGCAAGACCTCTCGGAGCAGAACGAGCTCTTGCGCCGCGAGAACCAAAAGCTCATCGAGTGGGTCGATCGCCTCACGCGCCGCGTCGACGAGCTCAGCGCGGTCGAAGAGACGCTGCGGGCGACCCAGTACAAGTACCGCAAGATGGAGTCGCAGCTGCTAGATTTACAGGCGCAGCTGGCCATGGCGCCCAACAGTGTCGGGCCCAAGAGCGGTCCGGGCTACGCGCGCACGACTCTGCCGTACCACCACCCTGTGCCCGAGTACCGGTCCGACTTCAACCCGAACGCACCGCGGTACGGCGCACCGCAAGAGCTCCCGCGGCCAGCGTACGCGCCGCCGCCGCAAGCTGAAGAACCGCCGGCACCGCCCGCGCGGCCGGCCAAGACGTCGTCGGGGCGGTACTTTCCCAAGGGGTATGGACAACCGTACGAGGCCCCGACGCCGGCACCGGCACCGCCCGCCACGTCGCACGCGTCGACGTACGCACAGCATGCGGCGTCGAATCGGCATCCGGGGCTTCACGTGATGCCGTTGCCGCCACCCCCGGGGCGAGGGCCCAACCCCAACGCCGGTGCCAGTGCGCCCACAAGTGCACCGACCGCGGTCACCAACACCTACCGCGGTGGCGCGCCGTTCGAGTTTCCCAAGCCGAGCGCGATGGGCTTTGGGTCGCAGCGGTCGCCCGCGGGTCGCGCGACCGGTCCGTCGCCACGCAACAGTGCGACGCTCGCGCCGTTGGCCAAGCGTCCGCTGCTGCAAGAGAAGAGCAGCAGCAACAACACGCCGACGTCGACCGGGCTCAAGGGCCCGATGCCCGTGACGACGCCACCACGCGCGTCGTACCGCGCCGGTGCGCATCCGACCAAAGAGCGGAGTCTGTCGAACGAAGACGACGAGGACAAGGGGGCGCACCGACCGACGACGACGACGACGACGGACGCCGGTACCAACGACAATGATGAGGTGCCGATGCACAAGAAGCAGAAGCGGCTCTCGCCGTGGGAAGAGGCCGCCGTGCACCAAGCGGCCATGTACCGTCGCGCGCAAGAGGCCGAGACGGACGCGGCCGACGTACTCAAGTCGATTCGCCAGTCGGACCGCCCGCGGTAGGTCTATCGCTGTATATGTCGTCGTAACACTCGAGAATACACACTCTTGGCTTAGGTTGTCGCCGCATGCAGCCCACAAGTCGTCGGATGGGACGGACAAGATTGGGGTCTATACGCCGCGGAGCCGCCGCCTCCTCCTCGAGCGCTACCACCTCAAGCGCACAAAGCGTCTCACGCGCCACAAGTGGTTCAAGTACCCGGTCCGGAAGACGCTCGCAGACTCGCGGCCCCGGGTGAAGGGCCGCTTTGTCAAGAACGACGAGCACGATGGCAGTCCGTCGTCGGCGCACTTTGACGACGACAAGCCGCCGATCGCTGTGCCCAACGACTTTGACTATATCCAGGCGTTTGCAGCTTGTGTCAAGGACACACAAACCTCGGTCGAAGACGTGGTCGCCGACATTGTCGCCGCCAAGCAGCGCCAGGGCGAGCTCATCTCGTGGGACTCGTACGACACTCTTCTTGTGATCGATTCTGAGACTGGGGTGTAGGTGGACGGTCGAGCTCGAGCATGCACTGATCGCGCTCCTCCCAAAAGACTATGCGAGCTCACCGTTCCCGGCCATCTTTGCCGAGCTCGTCTACATCCTCGGCGACGCCGAAGAGGAGTGCAACCAGGCCAACTACTGCAAGGCGCTGCAGGCCGCTGCGATCTACGTGGCGATTTGCCTCTCGCTCTTTACGAGTCTGGACCCGCCGTCGTCGTATGCCGGTGACGCCGACCTCTCGCCGATCGTGCGCTACTACCTCGCGTCGATCGAAGAGATGTACCGCAGTGCGCCGCGCGTCGAGCGCCGCCACACGTTTGCACTCATGAAGGCGATTGTCGATGGCATCGCCGGCGTCATCTGCACGGGCTTTGAGCACGGGAAGCGGTACCTCCGCCCTGTCTCGATCCCTGCGATCCTCGCCGCCGCGCCGCCCAGTACCAGTAGTAGAAGTCCCGACGACGACGAGTCGGCGTTGTAACAGTACCACCAACCCAGTCATTTTTCAACCATTTTTGCATGCTGTACGAAAGACGCCCTGCAAACCTGCCACGTCATGAGATGACAGTTCAATGACGGCGGTGGGTCACGCGATCCGGCTCCTCGACGAGAGGCAAGCACTGCAACGGTGAGTTGTCGCCGGGACCTGCGACGGGATTTGCGGATCTTTTTTATTTTATTTCTCAACCTCAACCTCAACCGCAGGATGACCATGCGCCATGGCCTGTACGTCATCGGGGCGCTTCCGACGCACGGCGGGCTCTGGACGTCCGAGGAGGTCGACCTCGTCAAGTTCCTCATCGACATCTTCACGCGCGGCTTGCTGCAGAACGTGCCCGAAGGCACCAAGCTCGGCGCGTGGCTTCCGTGCGTCATGAACTGCACCAAGCGCCGCCTCTTGCGCAAGGCGATCGCCGACCGCCAAACGCTCAGCCTGGTGTACGCTTTCAAGCCCACGGCGGACGTCAACTTTGCGGCCCTCACTGCGACGCTCGAGAAGCTCGTGGCCGACTTTTTAGCGACCGCACCGTTGCACCGCCAGCGCGGCGCCAAGAAGGTCCGTCGGTGCATCATGGCGGACGAGCACGCATCGCCGTCCATGAAGCTACGCGCGTGCTCGCCGCCCGCGACGATGCAAGACACGTGGGTTGCACGAGAGAGTGTCTCTGCTTCGTACGACGCCATGCCACCAGCGGTCGCCAAGAACGACCATCAGCCCAAGGCCAGCCCATTCGAGCTTCCGAGCTGGTGCAGCATCGATCTGGACCACTTTGCGTCGCTGGACGACGACGTGGCGGCTGAGAAAAGCCTCGTTCTCGAGCTCGACGCGTGGGCCGCCGAAGCCGTGCAGTGGATCAACGTCGATGCCAGCACGCTCCTGCTCGACACCATTGCCTCCACCTAGTCATCTCGTTCGTTTGTCTGTTATAATGTGCTGTGCATGTCTTGCCCATCGACGATCCTGCTGATAGCATTGATCTTGCGCCTTCAACCGTCGCGTCTTGCACCCATGTTGCATCGCGTGCAGCGACTGCAGATGGCACGCCGGGCTTTGCCGCCGACGTCACTCGGGGCGTCGGTGGGCGCTCGTCGGGCGCTCGGCGGCGGCCGAGCCTCCTCGGCTTCTTCAAGGTCGAGGGCCGGGGACCGGGCGCTTGGCCGCATTACGCAACGCCTTGAACCACCGCGGGCCAATGGGGAGCGCACAGTGGCATCTTGCGTACCTCGGCTTCCTTCAACTGCGTCAGCTGCGTATTTGTCGTCTCACCTCGTTAATCACCCCACGTGGCACCTTCGCACCCAACTTGGTCCGGGTCTGCCTCCTCCATTGCGCGACGAAGACAGGCTTGTACACGCGGCTTTCGGCAGCTATCTATAGAGGAGACGCTGTGCATTTGACCATGCATGGCGGGAGGGCGATGCACCGCGGCCAAAGCGGCCATCGGCCGATGCTTGGTTGCATGGGCACGCCACCGCTTGCGTCTTGCGCACTTGATAAGGTTGAAGAGCGTTAATGGCCCGATCAGCTTGCCATATTTATTTGTGCAGATTTTATGTACGATACAAATATTGAGTGTAGAAGAACGAAACGATGAAAAAACGTGTCGTGGGGCAGGTTGAAGTCGATAGATTTTATACGTTGGCCGCACTTCAAACAGAGTTGGACGATCGCCAGCTGGCTCGACGCATTCCCCCACCGACGCCGACGACGATGGCCCCCAAGGCGAAGCAAGAGAAGAAGCCCGCGCCCGAGCCGGCGCGGCGCATGGGCCCGTGGACGCCCGAGGAGGTCGCGTACACGCACCGCCTCTCGCAGGACTTCCAGCTTGGGCTCCTCGAGGACGTGCGCCAGGGCATGTCGCTCCGGCAGTGGCTCAGCCACATTCTCAACTGCTCGCCCATGCGCATTAGCAAGAAGTTTGAGGTCGAACCGTCCCTCCGCGCGCGCTGCAACTATGTGGTCAACTGGCAGCGTATCAAGAGCCTCACGCCCCACGAGGCGTACGTTCGCAAGAAGGAGCTCGAGACGCTCGAGCGCAACTTCAAGAAGAGCACCGAAAGCCAAGACTATGTGCGTCTCATGCAGTCCATGCGCAACTGCTACGACAAGTACCGCAAGGGCAAGACGAAAGGTCGCGGCGCCAAGCGCGGCAAGGGCAAGGAGCCGGTCGGCGCGCCGCCCCGGAAGAAGAACCCCCGGCGCTGCGCCACGACGCCGGCGTACGACGAAGCGACGTCGTCGTCGTCAGCCTCGTCGCCCACAACGTCGTCGACGCTCTCGCCACCGACCTTGCCGATGCTGCCGCCACTGACCGCGCCGCCGCTCCCCTCGTTTCCATCGAGCAAGCAGCAGCTTCAAAAGGTGCAGCAGTTGTCGTTGCCAGCGCGCCGCGACATGGTGGACCGCCTCGAGGTCCACGCCGTCTTCCACGAGTACCTCGTGCTCATGCAGCAGCTTCAGACGTCGTCGACCGACGTCCGCGACAACCTCTCGGCGCTGCAAGCGCGCATCGAGCGCATGAGTGTCGAGCAAGGCATGACACCGCTCACGATCGGCGTCCTCAACTCGATCCGCGCCGGGCTCTGCATCGCCGAAGCGCTCACACCGACGACGGAAGAGACGCTCAATGATTCGTCGGCGATCGAGACGCTGCTGCGGCTCTCGCGCGCGTCACCGGCATAGTGTTGAGCCGTCGCCCTGTCTCTCTTCCTCCTCTATCTATCGATCGCTGTACATATACGTGTGTGTGTTCCTACTCTGCAGCGTGCAGTGCTCAACGAGGCAGCGGCGGATCAGGCCAGACCGGGTGGCTGCGATCTTTCCATAATCAAGAAACATCTGGTGGCGTCTCGCGCTGCCACGTATGCGTGTAACCGCCTCGCTCAGCTTGGCGGACGGCGACTGCACGACGCGCGTCGCCAGTGCTGCGACGGCGCCATGCTTCGAACGCGGCAAGCCCGTCGAGTCATCTCCGTCTCGCAGTTGGTCACGCTGGACGCACCAAGTCCTAGCGATTTATTCGTTGAAGTCGCCGGCACGCAGCCACTCTCCATGCAACCGGATCCCACGCCGACTGCTTCTCGAAAGTATCTTACGAGATCGAACGCGGTCGATCGAGAGCGAGCTGAAGTCGATCAGTTGCCAACCTTCCTCGCACACCACGACTCGCCGCCATGGCCAAGGCACGATCCAAGACCAAGACCAAGGCGCCGCCGCCGCCGCCGCCGCCGCCGCTGCCGCGCACCGAGCGCGCAGGGCCCTTCACGCCGCAAGAGGTCGTCTACGTCGAGCAAGTGGCCGACGACTTTCGGAGCGGGCTCATCGACGACGTCCCCAATGGCACGCATCTACGCCAGTACCTCAGCATGCTCCTACGGTGCCAGCCCATGCGCCTTAGCAAGCGCTTCATCATGTCGTCCAACACGCTCGGTCTTTGCATCTACAACGACAAGTGGTACGATGGTACAACAGACAAGGCGGCCGCCAAGGCGCGCCGTGAGGCGCTCCGCGTCGATTTCGAGCAGTCGGTGCTCACCACCGCGCCGTACGTACCTCCCAAGACGTCCAAGCACGCCAAGAAAGCGCTGGTCAAGTTGCCCGAGCGAACGCTGCCGGCGCGGAACAAGAAGCGCAAGGCCATCGTCGTCTCGTACCCGGAGAGCGAACCCGACCTCGGCGACCACATTGGCCGCATGAGCATCCACCGGCTCCTCGCGTCGACGACCAAGAAGAAGCGCCGCGTCTCGACCCAAGAAGCCATGCACCTCATGTCGTTTGCCCGCCGTCTGCGTGACAAGGTGGCAGCCGAGCCGCCGGTCGTTCTCTTTGACCCGCCCCCAACGACACAGCGTCGCGCGCGTGCCAAGGTCGACGCGGAGAAGCCCAAGCGCAAGCGGTCACACGCCAAGCGCCGTACTGCGCGGCCGTGGGACTCGTCCTCGGCGGATGAGAGTGAGACGGAGACCGTCGCGCGGCCGTGGGAAGCGCCGTACCGGGACCTCAAGGCGGTCGAGTTTTCCTTTCGAAAGCGTACGCGGTCCGCCGTCTCGTACAACGACGTTCTTAGCAACGACGACGACGATAACGAGCTCGTCGCGCCGCCGATGCAACACGGTAGCGATCTACCGGCGGTACAGGACACCGGTGTAGACGTTCACGACCACATAGCGCTCGTCGAGACCGCATCACATATCGACGACGAGCGCCTGGGCGGCGGCGAGTCGCTCCTCGTTGCCGACAACGACCATGTAATGGGGACACCGCTCGGCGCACCTGTCACCGACGCCGACAACGACACCATCACCGACGACGACGCGGCCGACGACAACGCGTCGCAAGATGAGCAGACGGGCGACGAGCCGGCGTTTGCGGCGTTCGCACCGAGCGCGTCGGACGCGTTCTTGACGCTCGAGACGGTCGACTTGGACTCGTTCGAAGCGATGGATTTCGAGCACAATTTGTTTGAAAAAACGATAAAAATGGACGCCGCCATGGACGCGATCGAGATCGACATCCTCACCGACTTGAGCTCGGACTTTGTCGAGCTCGAGATGCCCAGCGTCGTCACCTGGACCCTCTAGGACCCTTCTCTTCGTGTTTGCATCGTAAAACTCATGAATTCGATTCGCATTTCTGTTGCCAAGGTGGATGATCATGCGTCTGGTGGACCTACACTTGAGTCCCACCCTCTGGATCATCTCATCTGCATGTCTCCGTCATCGGTTGCTCATCATGACGTGGAGCGACCTCACCAATGTGGCGACTGCCGATGGTGCTGCCATCGCCGAGGCCGCGACGGTCGCAGTCTATCCAGTATGGGGCTACGGCGCCTCTTGTCAACCGACGCGGTGCGGTACGACCGCAGCGACGCGTGCCGATCCCTCTCCGCGATGGATGAGGCATACGTGCGCCGTGTCCTTCAACGTCCCTTCCTCCACGTGTACGAATGTACTATCCAGGATCGTGCCTACTTTGCACCATGTCTCTCGACCTCCATGGGCGCTGTCGCGTCGCACGTCGGGGTATCTCCATGGCCCGCCGTGACGCGGTCTCTCTCGGCCTCGCCTCGCCCGCCATGGCGCCTTTCTGCAAGGCGCTGCCGAAACCATCTGCTTGCCGACGTCCTTGCGCATCGGCCGCCCATGTACGTATCGCCATGCGACGTCTTGTGCATGGCCTGTCGGCCGCGGCGCCGCCATGATGCCCCCAGAACCTGAATGGCCGTCTCGGAAATCATTTACCTCTCAAAGTTGATACCCCCTTGAAGTAGGGGTAGGTGCCGAGATTCGGAATCCAAATCCGATACAACCGCCCAGTCATTGGCCGCTTATCCGGATTTGCTATCCGGATCGTTCAAACTGCGGTTCACAGCGCTTGGCCACTCGAATCATTTCGCCATCATCCACGATGCTTCGCCAACCCAAGCACGCTGTCCGCGCCATGTCGGCGTCCGCCAAGGTGTGGATCAACAAGGACACCAAGGTCATCTGCCAGGGCTTCACCGGCAAGCAGGTACGGCGCATGCGTTCACGGTGGCCATGGAGGCTCATGGGCATGGCTACACTAGGGCACGTTCCATTCGGAGCAGGCGATCGCTTATGGCACCAACATGGTGGGCGGCGTGACGCCTAAGAAGGGTGGCACCACCCACCTCGGCCTGCCCGTGTTCAACACGGTCGCGGAGGCCAAGACGGCGACGCAGGCCGACGCCTCGGTCATCTACGTGCCGCCGCCGTTCTGCGCTGCCGCCATCATTGATGCGATTGAGGCCGAGATCCCGCTCATTGTCGCCATCACGGAAGGCATCCCGCAGCAGGACATGGTCAAGGTCAAGTGGGCCTTGGCGCAGCAGAACATCTCGCGCCTTATTGGCCCCAACTGCCCCGGTATCATCAAGCCCGGTGAGTGCAAGATGGGCATCATGCCCGGTTACATCCACACGCCCGGCAAGATTGGTATTGTCTCGCGCTCGGGTACCTTGACGTACGAGGCCGTGCACCAGACGACGTCGACGGGCCTTGGTCAGTCGACGGTCATTGGCATTGGCGGTGACCCGTTCAACGGCACGGACTTCATCGACTGCTTGGAGCGCTTCACGAACGACCCGGAGACCGAAGGTATCATCATGATTGGTGAGATCGGTGGTACGGCCGAGGAAGAGGCCGCCGAGTGGTTGAAGGAGTTTGGCAACCCCAACAAGCCCGTGGTCAGTTTCATTGCCGGTATCACGGCGCCTCCGGGCCGCCGCATGGGCCACGCCGGCGCGATTGTCTCCGGCGGCAAGGGTACGGCCGAGGGCAAGTTCGCCGCCTTGGAAGGCGCCGGCGTCACGGTCACGCGCTCGCCGTCGCGCCTCGGCACGACCATGCTCCAGCAGATGGCTCGCCGTGGCCTCAACTAAGTAGAATATAATTCCATGTATTCGAGCCTGCGTCATCCATCCCTCGACAACCCATCTCGTACGATCCAGCAACGCGGAAGGAGCTGGATATGCCATCGTCCCCGTCGTCTTCACGTCCCAAGGATCTGTCCTTCTTGTTGGCCGTTGGCCGCGGATCGCCAGGATACGCCGACCTGCCAACAGAAAAAAGCCGTGCTTTTTGACCAATCACGAACAGTTGCGAGTCGGCCACGCACGATGAAGCGCAAGCGCGACGACCTCGAGGCGACGACGACGGCCGGCGAGGGCCACGACGAGAAGCGGGCCTGCGAGGGCATCGCCGACGACGCGAGTGCCCATGGCTACGCGGTCGGCGCCCGGGTCATGGTCTTCGGCAAGTACGCAGCGGTAGTACCTTGATGAGATCGCGCCATGTACCATGATGGCCTCTCGTCTAGAGCATTCGGTACCTCGCACCGTCCGACGGCCTCGCTGGCGTCGAGCTGGACCGAGCGGTGGGCAACTGCGACGGCACGTTCCAGTCCCAGCGGCTCTTTTCCTGCAAGCCGCACCGTGGCATGGTCGTTCGCCTCGAGCAGCTGCAGGTGCCCACTCGCCTCGCCATGTACGTAGCTCAAGCGTCTTCCATCGGTAGGTGTTTTCGCCGCAAGAAGCAGCCGCGTGCACGATCCAGGCCGTCTGGCGTCGGCGTCGATGCCTCCGCGCGGTACTTCGCCATATGCGCAATCGCTTGGTCTCTTACGCTCGTGTGTAGTTTCAAACGCTCGTGCTCACGTCGTCTTGGAACGTTCTCGACAACCACAACGAGCAGCTCAACCTCAAGCGGGCCGAGCTCACAAAAGGCGCGTCCGACACGCTCCTCGCATTGGCCCAGCAGCGGCGCGAGGTACGCCTGTCCCGGCGCTTCTTTCGCACACAGATGCTAGGCCCACCCGCCGCTCGTCCGAGCCGTCTCGCGCCTGCCTGCGAGCTACTCTGGCCCCACGGTATCCTTGCCATTGACGCTCGCGTCGGTGCTGTCGATGCTCGACGCGTTCAAGCGCAGCGAGCCACTCCACGCTTCGTACGTCTCCATGTCTCTACTTCGCACGCGGATGCATCTAATGGCTAGGTTTGTCTTGCCCATTCTGGACGCCGCGATCCCTCTCTTTGCGTCCGAGTCGACGGTCCAGCACATTCGACTGCCGTCGACGGCGCACAAGCTCACGATCGTCGGGGATCTCCACGGCCAGCTCCAGGACCTCTTTTGCATCTTCAGTGCCAACGGACTTCCGTCGCCCGCCAACATGTACCTCTTCAACGGCGACTTTGTCGACCGCGGCGTGTACGGCGCCGAAGTGGTGTTGACGCTCGTGAGCTTCAAGCTGCTGTACCCCAACGCGGTGTTTCTCAACCGCGGCAACCACGAGTGTCGCAACCAAAACGGCTGGATGGGCTTTGAAGAAGAGATTCTGCTCAAGTACAAGTCGGACGACGTGAAAGCGCAAGCAACGACGGTCCTCGAGCGCTTTCAGGTACCATTTCTCTCTGATAGATTGATACTTTATTTCTATGTATTCTAGACGTGCTTTGATGCGCTGCCACTCGCATCGGTCGTGCTCGACAAGATCTTTGTGGTGCACGGCGGCCTCTTTGGCCAGCCCCGCGTGACGCTCGCCGACCTCGCAGCGATCCCGCGCCGACGCGAGCCGCCGTTGCACTCGCAGCACCCCCAGGACAAGCTGTTTGAAGAGCTCTTGTGGAGCGATCCGCGTCAGATTCGAGTAGGCCACATGGTCCCCGTCCCATATCTCATGGTCGACGTTCGTAGGGCCGCCAGCCGTCGTTGCGGGGCGCGGGCGTCGAGTTTGGCGACGATGTCACGGTCGAGTTTTGCGCCACCAACAAGGTGGCGCTGGTACCGACTCTTACCTAAAGTTGGCGGTCGTTCAGCGTCCATGGCTGTAGGTGATTCGGTCGCACGAGTGTGTGCCCGAAGGCTACGCGATCCAGCACGGCGGCCGACTCATCACGCTCTTCTCCGCGTCGCGCTACTGCGGCACGCAGCTCAACCAAGGCGCGTACTTGACACTCGGCGCCGACTGCAAGCCCGAGATCCAGCAGTTTATGGCACCGACATTGGGGCAGTACGCCAAAAAGGACGTGCTCTTCGCCGTCGCGTCGTCGCCCGAGCTGGACGACGACGGGTCGTCGCACCTCGAGATGAAGAAGGCGTCGCTCGAGGGCGACTTGCTGCGCATGATTGCCGAGCGCATTTGCGACCAAAAGACGGAGCTCTTTTTGTATTTTACGCAGCACGAAGCGCCGGATGCCCCGGGGCACGTCTCGCGGCTCGCGTGGGCCGATGCGCTCAGGACGGTCCTGGCACTGGACGTGCCGTTCTTGTTGTATCAGCCCAAACTCACCGAGACCGAAGGCGACGGACGCATCAACTACTCGAGGTATATTTTGCGATTGCTAGGC